AGTCAACATAGCGGGAGTGAAGCCCGCTGACTTGTGTATGGTACTTCGGTAGGATAGGAGACAATGGGGAATGAGGGTGTCCCAGATGTCGTTGTTGGCCGAATCAATGAACGCTCGTAATAGAGACAAAATAAATTTGTTGGTTCTCTCCGTCTGTCCGTTGCCTTGTGGGTGATAAGCTGTGGTCCTCGTTTTCTGTATGCCGAGTCGACTACACAGTTCATGTACTAAGAGGCTTTCAAAGTTGGCACCTTGGTCGGAGTGAATAACATCCGGCACCCCGAAACGGGCAACCCACGTACTCATGATCGCATCTGCGACCGTTGCCGTTGTCTGGTCGGGTAGGGGAGCTGCTTCCGCCAATTTGGTGAAAAAGTCGACCATCACTAAAAGGTATCGATTACCCTTCCCTGATTGTGGGAAGGGGCCTACGCTGTCGACTCCAAGGCGCTGATTAGGGTAGCCGGTGGAAATCGGTTGCAACGGTGCTCTGGGATTGTGAGTGGGATGTTTAAATCGCGCGCAAACTCCGCACTCTTGGCATATGAGTGCCACATCCTGACGAAGATTAGGTGACCAGAAGCGAAGCCTCGCCGCCTTTTCCAGTTTGCCTTGTCCCGCGTGGCCCAGTTGGAGGTGTAGCTCCAGTAAGACACTGCGTGTATGAGCCGGAGGGAGGACGAGGCGGGTCGGGGATTGGGGGTCATAATTGAAGAAAAGTTCTCGATCCCTCAGAAGAAGGTTTTGCCAGGTGGTCCACAGGGTTTGTGCTTCACGGCTTTCTCCGGACATCTGATTTTTCGACGGTTTGATGGAACCTCGCATAAATCGGTCGTAGATGAGACCGACATCTAGATCGTTGGCTTGTAGGTTAGCCCAGTTCACCGCCGAAGTGGTCACCGACAGAGCATTAACGTCGAGATTTTGGCAAGAGGAGCAGCTGTGGGGCTCACGCATGGGAATTCGCGATAGTGCGTCCGCGTTAAGGTGTTGCTTCCCAGGGCGATGTACGACGGTGAAGTCAAAATCCGCCAACATTTCCTGCCACCTTGCTACTTGTCCTTCCGGTTCGTGGAAATTCTGTAGCCACTCCAGAGCTGAGTGGTCCGTCCTGATGATGAAGGGTTTGCCTTTTAAAAACGCAGCAAATTTCTTGGTGAAGGAGACTAGAGCTAGCATCTCTCGCCGTGTGGCGCTATAATTTCGTTCCGACTTATCAAGCGTACGGCTGCCGTACTGTATAACGTGCTCTCTGCCGTCGGTGTCTGTCTGCGACAGTACTCCTCCTATGGCGTGACTACTAGCATCTGTATCTAGGATAAATGGGGGTCCGTCACGACTGAGATCGGGAAAACTGAGAACGGGGGCGGCGGTAAGGGCTTCCTTGGGGTGTGAAAATGCGTCCTCGCACTCGGTTGTCCACTTAAATGGTCGGGACTTCTCGGTCAGTCTCGTGAGAGGGAAGGCAAGGCGAGCGTACGACTGTATGAAAGCCTTGTAGTATCCTGCTAGGCCCACGAACTAGCGGACTTCATCTCCGTTGACCGGCTGTGCCCAGTCTATGACTACCTGGATCTTGTCAGGGTCCGTTTTGAGGCCCTCGCGGCTTACTATGTGGCCGAGGAAGCGAATTTCTGGTTGGAGGAACTTGCACTTCTTTGGATTGAGTGTCAGACCGGCATCTTGGTACCTCGTTAGGACTTCTGAAAGGTTGTCTAGCAGTTCTGATATCGCGGTACCCCACACTATGACGTCGTCTAGGTAAACAAGGCACTTCGATGGACAGAGGTTTTTCAGTAATTTCTGCATGAGGCGTTGGCAGGTCGCCGCTGCATTGGCTAGGCCCATAGGTAGTGTGGTGAACTCGAAGAGTCCCGAGGGCAGGGAAAAGGCGGTTTTTGCGCGATCTTCTGGGTGTACTTCGATTTGCCAGTAGCTTGAGGAGAGGTAAATGGTAGAGAAGAATTTCTTCCCTGCCATAGAAGCTAGGAGGTCGTCCATACGGGGAAGAGAAAAGGCATCTCTGACCGTGACCGCGTTGAGGCGTCTGTAGTCAACACAGAGACGAAGGGAATCGTCCTTCTTTTTAACCAGAGTTACCGGCGCTGCCCACGGGGAGGAGGAAGGTTGAATGATGCCTTGTTGGAGCATGTTTTCTACCATCTTATCGAGTTCTTCCCGAAAGTGGAAGGGTATCCGTCGGGGAGGGAGGTGCTGTGGAGGGGCGGATCCGGTGTTTATCCGGTGTTGGACTACGTTGCA